ACCTGTTAAAAAATGTAGTCAGTAGTAACACAACTACTTCTGGATTACTTCAATGCCAATTATGGGTAAGAGAAAAGAGTATAGAAGTATTGAGGCAGGTGTATAACACAACAGAACAATGTAATGCTCAGTGTATTTCTCAATTAGAACTGATTAAAACATTTCGTCGCCAAGTGCTTGCTCATGGTGGTACTGTTGGGTCTCTGTAAATGTTAAAAGGAGTTTATAGGTTATCCTAGTGTATTTCTCCATAGTTAAATAGGGTTGTGTGGTCTGTGTAGGTGCTTGTTGAGCTCGTGATGTATATGCTATAATCAATTAAAGTTTATAATAAAGACTTGATTAGATTTAGTTAATTGATCTTGTGGTCGTGTATTAGGCTCTGTAGTTGTTTCACTTACATTTTTATACAAGTGATCAATAAATTTATTCCATAGTTAAGATGTGTTACGAATCAGTGTTGCAGGTTGATGCGATGTGTACTGCATCTCACTTTTTTTGATGAGGGCTTTTTGAGTGGCTGTTTGCATGACTTCCTCCGTGGTGATCGTTCTGCTCCTGCGCTCTTGGATCATCGGAGGTTTCCTGACGATGCTCTCCTGTGCATCTCGACGTCTTCATATTCGTGTCCGCATGCGTGCTGGCAGCGCTCGGTTCGCTCTTCCTGCTCCGCTGCTGCGCAAGCGCCTATGCTTTTCTGGTCACTGGTAATGATGCTTCTCCTAGTCCTGGTCAGCTTTAGTGGTTTTACATTAGGATGATTGCATCTTTATGCAATAGCGATGACAATTTAAATCATGAAATGACTATACTTATCTGATTAATTCAATTCTATTTATAATGTTGCCAAGTTGGTCGTGTTAATCTAGTCTCGTGGCATACCTGTGCGCATTTATCAGTATTTTCTTGTCCGACAGATGACATGTTGGTAGTAGCGTTATTAATCGCATAGCCAGGAGGAGTGTGACAAGATGTGATTTAGCGATTTGTGTGCGTTACGTGTTTAGTGTGATGCATATGTTATTGTTTGTGGGTCATAATGTGTTTCTTAAAGTTAATAGAGCTGAAACGCGATGTGATGGACTACAAAGAAATCGGCCTTATGATCTCCAGTGCTTTAGGTGATTATACCAATGGACTCTTTCATCATTTTCTGTGTGCCACAGGATGTTATTTAAGTATAACAATTTCCAGTTATATAATAGTTATTTTTCTCATTTTTATTATGAAATCTGGTCTCAGCTGTGTTGATCCCGATGAATAATGTCTTTCACTCAATAACTAGACTAGGACGATGCCCTGATGTTTCAATTTGTCTGTGTTGTATTTTATTTGTAACTTGGGTTTGAATCATATCTTTGTTTATGATTTGAAAGGATGGAGACAGTATGAGGATATTATTTTGTAGTTATTTTGTAATACATCAGTATGGTGGACCGTTGAGTGTGCTAGTTTGGACGACGTAAATCAGTATCCACAGGGGCGTCGGATTCAGCTTAATCACACACTGACAACAATGCAGCAGTGATCAAATCACGTATTATGCCTACTAGCTTTAAATATGAGGCTGCAGTAATGTCTCTAATAGAAGCCCATTATTATCTTGACTCCTGATGATTGGATCATATGAGGACGACCACTAACACTGCGTTTCACTTTCATAATCAATTAATCAATAATCAATAACGCGAGCTGCAGTATAACCGGTCTGACCTGATCCGGCTCTGGTTCAGCGTCTCCATGCTGGCGTGGGCGTCGTCCACCTCTCGGACCAAGCTGCAGGTTCCTCTGATCAGCCTGATCCAGTCGGCCTTTCACCTTGTCCCGCTCCCTGCAGGCCTGCTCCGACACCACCCTGACAGACAGACAGAGAACAGAAGACAGAGAGACAGAAGAGAGACAGAGAGACAGAGAGGAGAGAGAGAGAGAGAGAAGACAGATCAGACAGAGAAAGCAGAGAGAGAGACATGGACAGAAGAGGAGACAGAGAGAAGAGAGACAGAGAGAGAACAGAGAGGAGAACAGAGAGACAGACAGACAAGGAAGAAAGAGACAGACAGAGAGAGAGAGAGACAGAGAGAGAGACAGAGAGAGACAGGAGACAGAGAGAAGAGGGAGAGACAGACAGAAGAGAGCAAGAGAGCCAGACAGGACAGAGAGGAGAGACAGAAGACAGAAGACGAGAGACAGAGAGGAGAGAGGACGGAGAGAGGACAGAAGAGAGCAAGAAGAGGCAGAGAGAGAGAGACAGAGGAGAAGACGACAGACAGAGAGAGAGGACAGAGAGGAGAGAGAGGACAGACAGAAGAGAGATGACAGAGAGACCGACAGACAGAAAGGAGAAAGGCAGACAAGAGACAGAGAGAGAGAGAGACAGACTGAAACAGGAGAGAGAGACAGAAGAAGCAGACAGAGAAGAGAGAACAGAGAGAGACAAGACAGAGAGAAGAGACAGACAGACAGACAGAGAAGAGACAGACAAGAAGACAGACAGAAACACCAGTATCAGCTAACTGGACTCAGTTTTGTAATAATGACTCAACACTTTCAGAGTGGAGCTGCACCCTGCTGGACATCAGAGAGAGCAGGTGACTTTTATTTTGAAGTGCTGACAGGATGAGAGCAGCGTTCATTCACTGCACAGATTCTTTATAATCTGGATCCTCCTGCTCTGCTTTATAATCTGGATCCTCCTGCTCTGCTTTAATAATCTGGATCCTCCTGCTCTGCTTTATAATCTGGAATCCTCCTGCTCTGCTTTATAATCTGGATCCTCCTGCTCTGCTTTATAATCTGGATCCTCCTGCTCTGCTTTCATACAGTGAAAACGGGAGAAAACCTACTGCAGGTGTTGGATCTCGTTCTTGTAGGAGATGAGCGCCGCCTGGTGGATGCCGTTCCCGCTGACCAGCAGCTCGTTGTCCAGAGCCAGAGTCAGGTCCGCCAGACTGAGACGCTCCTCCAGAGGGAAGTCCAGAGTCTGCAGGGACCAAACCATTGAGCCCTTTATTCCCAGTTCATCCTGTTTACTACTCGACGGTGGTTCAATAACAAGTGTTTTCTGCTCTGCTCCTCTTTAATTTAAAGCCTCCTGTTGTTGTTATCTGGTCATTCATTATTATTATAAAGAAAGAACTGATGAAATACAGATTAATTAGCAGTTTCAGACACTTTAAGGACCAATTCAACTAAAACACTGAGCAATCTAACCTGTTAACATTTAGTAATCTGATCAATCTCTAAAAACTGTCTCCTGATCACAGTGATGGATCACAGATACGTTGGTCTGCACTCACCTGCAGGATGTCCCGGCTGTTCCTGATGCCCTCCTCGGTCCAGAGGGCGATGACCCGCTCGGGGCTGCTGCATCCTGAGCCGTCGTCCAGCCAGCTGAGGACTCTCTGACCCACCGTGGCTGTAAGCAGGGAGGGCGAGGTGGAGCGAGCCGAGCGCTCCTCCGAGACCGTCTGAGACTGCATGGACGACAAGAAACCAGAGGCAGGCGTTAGTCCACGTTCAGACCGGAGAGGGAAAGGAACAGGTTTCTAACGAACACATTCCTCAGGGTCCTAATAAACGCCTCCTGTCACAGTGTGACATTTAATCTGGATTAGCCTCCTTCCACTCGGAGCCACGTGGACCTGGAGACAAACATCCCAGAAACAGCAGCCTGGAACAGAAACTCCATCAGGCTAATGTCACTGTTAGCTGCTCCAACAGGAATATCTTTAATATCTGGTGAGTTAGATTTAGAAAGGTTAGAAAGGTTAGATTCCTAAAATCACCTGAGAGTAACAGGAAGTCCTGTCTGTCTTCACCCACGTTAACAACCCACAGCCTGAGATCAGCCCTGACGTGCAGTACATGATGCTTTCCACCTGTCTGAACTACCTGCTACCTGTCCTCCTGCAGCACAATGGCCGAGTCCCTCCACCTGATTGGACTGATGACTGCCAGCTGCAGTGGAGCCGTCTGATTGGACCAGCTGGAGCGAGAAACTCCAACTTTATCCACTTTTTATTGATAAATGACGGCAGTGTATTATGTCTTAGGCTCACAGGCCCGTTACATTATTGTTATGTATTGTTGTGTATAGTGTGGGTTACCCATATGTTTCAGTTTTACGCTAATTTAATGAACAATAAAGTCATCTGAATCTTATAGAGAAGTTTTAAATATGAAGACAAAGAAATTAAGATCACAAATATCTTATTGTTACCAAAACCAAAACCACAGATTTTGTTTGAGTGATAAAGTTGTTTTTGATCTTAAAGGGTTAAAAAGGTATTTTTAACTTCTAGTATAGTCGTTGATTATGTGTGTGTATCAGTGAGCGTCTGACCCGGTGTGGCGCCCTCTGCAGGTCAGCTGATCGTACGGGGGTGGAGCAGGAGACGGGGGCGGAGCCACGCAGAACCTTCTGGAAGTCCCTGATGCTGACTCTGCCGTCCAGGTCGGCGTCCAGCTTCCTGAGCAGCACGTCCAGCTGCTGTTTGAATGTTGACAGCTGTTACTCATCACGATAACACATATTGAACTTCCTGCTGCAGGTAGTGGGCGGGGTCTCACCTCTGTGTCGAGCTGCTGCAGACCCAGCTGATCACATACTGCCGCCAGGACGCCTCCACCTCCTCCAACAACAACCCCCAGCTCCACCTCCTCCTTCTCCTGCTGCTGAAGGCCTGCACAACACACTGGAAATAATTAACATTAAAATACAGAAAAAGAAGACAACAACAACAAAGATGGCGACGATGTAGAAGAAGAAGAAGGGTCTTTTAAAACGAACATTAATAACTAAATCTGGAGTCATTATCTGTAATAATATCTAACCCAGTGTGAAACTAAAGTCATACATCATTAAAGCTGCAAGCAGTTTTATTGTATAACAGAAGTTATCTCAGACACTTTTCAAAAGAGCAGGTTCTAGACCGCAACTCCTTTTAACATTTACAGAGACCCAACAGCTACCAACCATTGGAGAGGGAGACCTTGGAGACAGGGGCAAGGTAAAACTGCCTGTTAAAAACAGCCCCTCGCAGTCCGTGCACATCGGGGTGAGTTACAGTCACGTTATGTGCCAGCACATCACGTGTAGACCGCACCTTGTAAATGTCACGTAAATCAGATATTGATTTCACCGCCAGGCTTACTTCCTGTTTCCAGTAGGTGGCGTTATGACTGAATGTCGATGTGTGCAGTGTTGTTAAAATACAACACACAGAAATTACAAGAATCACAGCAAAAGCGTTTCCAACTTCCTGGTGTTTTTTGTTTTTTTGTACGTCTGGATGTGACTGTTTAGTGGCACTGTCGCCATCTTACTGACTCATTTTCTATCTGCGTTTCATCAGTTCTGGAGAATGTTGCAGGCTCTAAATATGTGATGTGTCTCAGAGGCAGAGCGGGTATATCAGCACAGTCCATTTACCATTTAATAAAGTGTAGAGAGTACCTTTAGACTGAAAGTCTCGCTGGATGTTCTCTTTCTGACTTCCTGCCTCCTCATCAGACTTCAGGCTCTGCAAAGAAAACATGGAGGTCAGCAACAGTCTGCAGTACACACTGTGTGTGTGTGTGTGTGTGTGTGTGTGTGTGTGTCTGTGTGTTAACCAGCCCGTGAAACTAGTCTGAACTAACAGCATAAAGTGTTATGTAAAGAGTGTGTGCAGTGATGCCAACGAACAGCGATCAGAAGGAATTCCTGAGCGGCCATTACTTCTGTTAGACTGAACATATTGTTTGTGTGTGTGTGTGTGCTGTGCTGTGGTGTGTGTGTGTGTGGTGTGTGGTGAGAGTGTGTGTGTGTGTGTGTGTGTGTGGTGTGTGTGTGTGTGAGAGAGTGTGTGTGTGAGAGTGTGCTCAGTGCATATAGACTCCGGTTGTCACGCTAAAGAGCTTAGCATGTAAAACCCACCCTTGTGTCAGGACATGTGTGGGAAACTGAACCTGGGACTCACCAGAGTTCACCAGGAGCCGGTCTTTAATAAACCTGGTCCTCACTGCTAAAGCTTGCTCAACTGTTATTGGCAGAATAAAAATGGGGCGGGGCTCAAGGTTAATTGTTGTTTTCCACGCAGCGCCCCAAAAGTACTGTTACGAATTTTATATTTGTGCGCGTTGTGTTAACATCGCATCAGATTTTCTCCATCTTTTTCTGGATACCTTCATCTGTACCACTGCATGACGGGCAGATTCCATCGTTCTCACAGCATGTCCACTCACATGTTAGGGCTGTGGCTGGTGCTCGTGGTTAGAGCATCGGCTGTGTTGGCTCGCTTGTGCTGGAGCTCGCTTGTGTGCTCGCTGGCTAGCTCGCTGTGCTGACTCGCGTGTGGCGTGTGCTCGCTGTGCTTGCTCGCTGTGCTCGTGCTCGCTGTGCTGGTGTGTGTTGAGCTCGCTTGTGCTGTGCTCGCTGTGCGTGAGCTCGCTTGCTGACTCGCTGTGCTGTGCTCGCTGTGTGGTCGGTGTTGTAAGAAGGCTGTTGTGAAAAATTCAGCAGCAGCAGATCAATTATTAAGCTGTCAGTGTTTGAGAGTTAGCTGCAGCAGCAGACCACACACACTGTCAGGAAGTTAGTGTCTGTGCTGAAGTCTGTATGTGTTTGTCTATTGTTTGAAATGTTTTATTACCAAGACAATATACAAGGTTCACGTGCAGGTTCAAAATGTTTTGCACCCAACAGAAGGAAGCAGCCAAATTGTCCAAAGTTAAAGATTCACAATGTAAAGTAATTTTGAGCAAATATGTGATTGGCCACGCCCACTTGCACAGATCAATATTGCTGTTTTTCAGGTACGCAACTAGCTAACTAACCTACCTCAATTGTTAGCTTGGTAATTATTCAACATAAATTAGCACATAGCATATCTAAGTACAGGAAAGGAAACGTTTACTGATGTTCTGATCGAGGCCAAAAGGGGTGGGACTTAGGAAGAGCCCCGCCCCTTAGACCTCAGGTGTAAAGGATTATCAATGAGTGGGTATATAGCTCAATAAAGGTGAATAAATCTTCAGAGCAGAGGACCTAGAGTAACCTAACAGTCATGGTTACACAACATTGTTGAATATTTAACACTGATGTTCATTCGTGGAGGCTGTGTGTCCTCTGGGTCGCTCACACATGAAGGTTTAATACCTTTTTAGTACGCAGCTCTGTTTGCCACATGCTTTTATCGAAGCTGGCTTACATTCGGGGCTAATTGTCTTGCATAAGGACCCACAGCCAAAAGTCTCCAGAATAAAAATATTAATGTGAATTCAGTTGTGATGTTTCCTGCTTAAAGCCTCCCTCCAGACATGTATTAGGACCATAGACTGTATCAGCTCAGATGAACCAGCTCCCAGATGAAGAAGAACAACGCTCAACACGTTGAAGATGGCGACAAGAGCAGCTGCAGAGGTCAGCGCCATAGATACAGGACATAGGTCAGCGCTGTAGATACAGGGCAGATGTCAATACTGTAGATACAGGGCAGACGGTGTTTCTCCGCTTAAACTCTCTGACTGATGGAGCGTGACGCTGCCGGGTTATAGGTTTGAGTTTGGTTTCACTTATCTGTAATTACTTACCGAACTTTTGATGCTTTTCAATGCTGAATTGGACTGCAACCAAATTAGGAAATGTTGTATTACGCGTGCGTAACATTTCATACAAAACCGACAATCGCTCCACCTTGTGACCATTAATATAACCCTTGAACACAGTATTCAGATATGAATATCTTCAGACTCTTTCAGAAGCTGTGGCAGATATCAGACAAATATTCTCTCATTACTTGAACCGTTGTTGAAATAAAAGTCACATCCTGTCAGTTAAACGTGTTATTTCAATGTGTCAGATTCATATTCCATCATTATATTAAAGGGTTCAGAGACTCTTCTTCATGATGAAGAAGAAGAGGTGGAGTCTGAATAAAAGCTGCAGCGAAGCAGTTTCAGTATGTTTGGTCTGTTTTAAAGAACATGATCCAGCTGCTGCAGCGAGAAGCTGGCAGTGAAAACTGTGTTTGGAAATCGGCACAAAAAGCAGCCGAGAAGTGAAAACTGTCCCAAATAAACAGAGTGACGCATCTTTGATCTGCAGCCAGACCAGCACGCAGCGTCTGCCAGCAGCCACATTCCTCATAATCCCACTTCCTGAAAAACCTCCAACGCCCCCAAAACCACCAAACCTCCCCCACCGGCTCCGACCTCCCACCTCCTCCCCCCTCAGGTATTCACGGACTCGACTGCAGCAGAATCGCAGCAGCACGTCTGGATATTTGAGACGAACCTCACCCAGCCGGCACAAAGACACACAATGAGCTTCATTCACACAGGGAGACAAGTGTGTGTGTTCTTGGTGAGTCTATAAACACTCGTTCACATTATCGTCTTCCATCGGAGCCTCAGAGTCTCAGCAGCAGAGGTCAACAAGTGGAACCAGCTCTGGCTCGTAGGCTGCCGTTCACACCGCAGACACAAGTGGCCCAAATCAGATGTGTCTGTGCTCATATGTGACAGTGTGAACAGCTTCAGATCTCATGTAATCTGACTGGGGTTGGTGAGGAAGCGCCTCTAATGTCTCATATTACACACTGTAACAGTTGGAAAACATCCCTACACATTTCAGCCTTTACAGCATTCATCAGGGGAAATCAGCTGAATATGTGAACTCACTGGAGACTTCATTGAGCTGAAAGCTGCCAGAGAACGGTCAGAGATCCAGGAGGAAGGAGGAGGGAGGTGATGGGTACAAGCAGGTACTGAGATTAAACTTTATCCTGCTGTACAGAGCAATAAAGTAAACTGTTGAGCCTTAATCACAGCAGGAGGAATTCCCCTTTTTTAATTCAGAGAGAGGAGGCCGATCTTCTTCATGTACATAAATAACATTTTGTCCGTCATCGACTGTTGTTGCTGTAACTACATTTCTTCTGATACAACTTCCAGCAGTGACATCTGAAGAAGCTAATCGCTGATAGGCCGCACAAACGGGTCTGACCCTTCAAACTGCTTTTGGCTTGTACACAACATTAGAAATCATTATTATAGACCAACAATTGATCAGCCCTGATAATTATTGTGAATCCATAAAGATTATTTTCAGTTTTCTGGTATAAACTGTATAAACAATGCATATTTCCTTTTCTTTCACTTCTTTCTTTCATCATGATTAAAGGTTTTATTAAACACTCTATCGTTACAGTCCTATAATCCAAAATCCAAACACTGAATTATCCAGCGAGTTCTACAAAGATCAACTTTAAAAGTCAAACCATGCTATTACATTGATTGATTGTGATCATTCATTCAATATTAAAGAAGAGACGTTAGAGAATGTCTTCGTTGAGGAGGGCATGAACCGGCCGCTCACCTCAACACTCTCCAGAGAAAGTCGATCGCCCTCAGTTTGCTCTTCGAACGCCGACCGGTGAACGCAGTCTGGCCTCGGTCCTGCACACCGCGAGTCCTTCCGAGTCAGCGTTCGGCTGACTGTCCGGGTAACGGGCCGACCCGGCCGTAACGCTCGCTCCTTCACGAACTTGGCCTGTCACTACTCCGAACAACTGAAGAGACAGACCAAAAGACAAGACCAGACAGACAGGCAGACAGACAACAGTACAGACAGACCAGACAGACACACAGACAGAGAGACAACAGACAGACACGACCACCAGACAGAACACACAGACAGAGAGACAGCAGACAGACAGACACAACAGACAAGAGACAGACAGACATACAGACAGACAGACAGGAAACAGACAGGACAGGAAGACAGACATGACAG